CCCCCCCCCCCCCCCCCCCCCCCCCCCCCCCTTTCCTAGCTCCCATTGTCCGCTTACGCTACTATAAACAGTATTCTAAAAAATCCTTTAAAATCTTACTTTTTGGCTTTGTGAAATTCTTTGCCACAGAAGTGAACAACACTTTTCTCGACAACACTGTCGACAAAAAACAAGTCGTATGCTGATGCCAGCTGGCGCTTCTCGTAGTAGGTGTGGTACTCCCGTTCCAGTTGTCGTTTTGTTAAAATCTATATTTTTTAAAAAAAAATTGTAAATGGATTCAAAGAGAACAAACATAAAATATATGTACTTTAACATCTGCAATTACTACTCACAAAATCAAATGAGCACAAAAGAAAGAGCAGTAAGAAACGAGATGGCGATGAAGGGGCTTGATCTCTGGCAAGCATACAAATCCAGAATTGACACCTCTGGAGCGAACAGCTCCATTTCATTCTCATGCACCGAAGGAGAAATGGATTTTCGAATTCTGTCACTTAAATATGCCCCGGTTTTACAGTAAATGTTTTTGGTATTTTTTTATCGAAGAGTGCTAAAATACCGAAACAAGCTTTTAGAAGAAAAAAAAAAATCCCGTTGCTTTCGCTACTAGAGAGGAAGACAGTTGTACAAATCCAATCTTGTAATTTTTTTTTTAAAACTCATCCAACTATATCTAAATAAAATTTTTGCTTTCACTACCGGAAAGATACAATGCTGTACAAATCCAATTTCTTCATTTTTTTGAAAAACTCATCCAATTTTGTCTACATTTTCAAATCTTTAATCTCCTCTCAATGGCCTAGTGGATGCCAGAAACAACAAGGACATAACCTAATTCGTTTATCCCCCTGATATCATACTTTTGACATAACCTTAGATCCTTCCCCTCTTCCCCTCCCTTCTCGCTAGGCTACAAAAAAGATGTATAATTTTAAGGTAAGCAAAAAAATTACCTTCTGCACATGCTGTTTGGTGATACCATACTCATATTCCAGTTTTTCGGCCCATTCTCTGGCTTGTTTATCAACATCCGGATCGTGCCGTGCCTTATCCGAGCGATCCAAATCACGCATTATTAAGCACACAGTTGTATTACTTTTGTCAAGTATTGGATATGGCAAGAGGCTGAAAAATTTTAGAAAAAATAAAATACATATATGCCTACAACAAATGGATTCATCTCCTAGCCGATTTCAAAAATTTGTCATAAAAATCGCAATTCTGATCGCCCGTTTGTGCTACATGTAAGCACAACAACGGACACAACCTCTGTATATCCCGGTTTCTCTCCAAGAAAGTAAGAAACTGAAGAAATGTGTATTTCTGCGATTTTAATCTCAAAAAACAGAAGCAAAAACTTATCTTCAATTAAGTAAAAAACCTCCCTCCCCCCTCTCCCTCTCCTCTTGCGGACACTAAGTCTATGCTTGGAACAGTTATGATTTTAGACATGCAGTTGCGAACTAGCTGCCTTGATCAATGCCATGGTGACCAGCATGCTGGTGATCTTGACATTCATTTCAATTCCTGAACGGATCAGAAACTCAGTTAAAGATGACCAATTCCTTAATTAAGTAGTCAAAAAACATAAAAATAAAAAACATAAAAATATTTTAAGTTGGAGCTTCCTAGAACATCAGGCATCTGTCAGCTGATCCTAACCCCATATCATTCAGGAACAGTTCAGCTCCAGACAACACTTGACAAGGCTTTATCCGTTACAATATATCCTTGGCATGACTGCTAAGCATCATTTCGCTCGACCGTTCCTATTCCTAAGTTACAACGAGGTACCATAATGACGGGGAGCTCACTAATGCCAATAATAATAATAATACTAATAATAATAACGATAATAATAATAATAATAATAATAATAATAATAATAA